AGGAGTTTTACAATAAAAGGACATAAATCTGCGTCGGCTGGTTTCGGAGACGTCGACAAAAAAGGACGATTTCTATTATATTCGATAAGGAGAGTCACGTTTAATTGCGATTCATTTAATTTACCGAAAAGAATAATTTAGTTTTGTTATGAGCGAAATTTCTTTGCCCTTTTACGCTTTCGGAATGCACGAATATAACCAATAAATCAATCGATCGCAATAAAAATCTCGCGCAGGAAATTCCTGGTTAATTTTCTAACGCCGCTTTTACGACGGCACCATTTTCTACGAATTATATTTAAGACGTCCATAAAATCGATAATTATATCAAAGTACAAATAAGGCGCATGTTGGAATCCATTAATGCGATTCTATCTTTTATAGATCTCCGTCCTTTTTATTACCCCGCACTAAAATCAGTTTACTAGACAAGCGGAAATCTCGCTATTTTGCTCGATAATACGCTATAAAATTGTTTTCTTTATGTTACCAAGCGCCGAATGATTGTTAATGATTCAAACTTTTCTCGAACCAGTTGGCAACAAATGTCAAATATTATGTTGGCAATACTGTTGCGATCAATTTTGACTTTTATTGGTTGTAAAATTAGCCGACTCTCTTTGGTACATAATTTACTCTACTGGAGTCACAGGTAAATGGCTTTAGATAATTGATTCTTAGATATTTGACACTTTTGGATAGATAATTGTCTCTGTACTGGAGCCATAAGCCATACATAATTGAGCCAGATTAGAAATACTCCTCTTCAAGTAATTAAAACTCTCAACTCTTAAATAGAAATTTTACTCTTTTGAGGAGAAAATTCTAAAGGAAATATATAGGTAAATGGCATAGACTCTTAGATAATTAAATGACTCTAATTAAACGACACTAAGAAAATTAAACGATACTTAGATGATTAAACGACTCTTCTTAGATAATTAAACAACTCTTCTTAGATAATTAAACGACTCTTCTTAGATACGTAAACCACTCTGAGTTAATTAATTATATGATTCTTATATAATTAAATGACTCTTATAGATAATTAAATGACTTAGTAGAAGTAATATTTCCAATCGGCCGGTGTTCTGTGTCTGATTTGTGGCTGGTCCTGTGCTGTATTTCTCTCTCCTGCAAATAATTAGCGAGTTGAGCGTGTCTTAAGGAAGACAATGTGTACGAGTAGACGGTGCATAATTGACAATGCGGAGAGTTTGTATGGAAATAGAGGAGTGATGGAGGAATGCGTCGACTCTGCAACGTGACTGGGTTGAAGTGTGCATTTTAATATTTAGCGACATACGTGTGGTTTTTTATTTATACGAAATGCGATAAATTCCTACTGAGGTAATTAATTCGGCGTGATGAAATTTTACACGAAAAATATAATAGACTCTAGAACATAATAATTTCGTAATTCCGCTGACCCACATCCGCGATTTCTACCAAATACGGATTTCGCATTTTATTCTCGTTAGAAAATTACCTCCCGTCGAAGATAGCTAACTGCTGGAAAATTATAAATTACGCTCTCGTCGTATTTTTTTTTTCAAGCGCAGTCGCCACAAGAAATTGCGGTAAAAGTGTCAACGAAACGATTTTATTTATAATTCTTTCGCGCCGGCATAGAAAAATCGGCTGTTTACGAGTTACGTTTTCCATTCGATTTTCGAGGTCAATGTCACGGATACCTGCTCTTATACAATATGGTAATGAATGTTAATAGCGAGTTGCGGGGTTGTCCCGGCTGACTGTCAGCTGTCAGGCCGGTTAAAAACCGGGCCGTTTAAAATATTTCTATTTCAGTTTGACGTATCGGTAAGCCGATATATGCTCGTTTGATTCGATAGACACGATGTTACATGGCTAGAAATGGTTTGTTACATGTCGTGTTTTTCTAATTGAAGTCGCATTGGAACTAATCGTTAATCATAAGTTCCTTGAATTATCCTTTAAAATTCTTTTTGGAGAAAAGTTATTATAATTATCATTAAAATTTCGGGTTTATTAAGGCAATATTGTAGTAGCGGTTCTGGCAAAATTTCAAATAATTTTCACGCATGCAACGTAATTAATTGGATAGATGTTTAATAAACGTTTGATTGATTGATTAATTTAGTAAATTAAGACGCTATTATACTCCATAATACTCATTAAACCGATCGTCGTTTTGATACAACGTTAATTAAACGTTGCATTATTTAGCGACTCGATTTAATGTACACCTTCATTTAATAAATTAATTTATATTAAGATAATATCAATTAGCGCAATAATTCTAATCTAATAATACGGATTATTTCGTCGCGTTTAGAAAGCGAACGAAATCGAAACGAAACAATGGATTTGTCGTTTTTTCACGTGTAATTTTCAACGTGTAATTTTCAATTTACTGGCAAAATACGTCCAATTTGCATAAGTGCATAAGTGCATTAGTGCAATAGCGACAGATGAAAATGGATTCAAATCGTCGCCGCAGGTGGACCGCGAATTGATCCGTTTGCGGACAATGAAATTCGGATTAATATAGTTTGGAAATACTTTCCTTTATCCGCATTCGATGCGATGCATGTGCGTTTTAATGATGCATTTCTGCTAATCTATTCGTGATAAGCAACGATTTATGCACCTTTCGGAGAATGCACTCATTACATAAATCTCAATTTTCGTTTAGCACGTATACGATGTGGCTCACAAATTACAGGAATACTCTCCTTTCTCACAATTATCCCGCGTAGCCCCTTTGGTCATCACGATTAAGTAAACGATGCGTTTACCTATCTACTTCTGGTTTTATAGAAGCTTATTTAAGGAAGAAAACCGAATTATTTTTTTTCCATTCCATCCATAATTGGCGTGTATACATTCGCATCGACAGAGGAATGCGATCGTAATAGAGTTACACAATATATATCCGAGGAAATAAATCGCTTCTCCCTTTTAATAGTCCATAAATCGCCGCCGATATAATATAAAGTATTTCTCTGCTGGCATCGCGTAATTTAAAACAATCTAAGCGGAATTTAACACCTGTTTGAGATAAACATCGGCGGAAAAATAGAGGAATTGCGAGCGGCCGCAACTGGTTTCGTCGACACCCTCGGGCCGGAAAAATCCGCGTAATTATTTCCCTTCGCCGCGCATTAATCCTCCTGCGAAACGGACAAAGGGCGATAACTAAAAGATTCCGAGATGGTATCGCGAAAATGAAAATGCACTGGTACGAATGGAACGAGTTAACGTCAATCAACGCGACTGCCGTGTATAATTTTATGTTAGATATATCGAGTAATTTAATTGGGAATAACTCCGCCAAAATTTGTGTGCGATTTGAAAGGTGGCGGTTCCACCAAAATTTCGATTATTTGTATAAATTTATTTTATAATTAGCTTTGGAATAGTTGCTTATAATTAGCCGGGGATTTCGTGTCGTTTGAGATAGCGAAATGAGCGGTGCGGGTGCGTTTTCTGGTTAATGCGCTCAAGATACCAGATAAATTGGACGTACTGACATCGCTTTATCCGCTTCTCGATCAGTTTCGCGTTTTATACGTTTACAAGATGAGTTCCTTATGCCCGGTTTGTAAAATTGCGGCCGATCGCGCTGCGCCAGGTGTATATTAATCCGTATTGAGCGGCCAATAAAATCCGAACGAGCTACATTTAATATTTATTAGCAATAAAAAAGCGACGGCTCGTTATTAGTACTTAAGGTATGAATTTTAAGTAGTCGTAAATGCGTAAAAAATGGACGTCTGGGCGAGGAGAATTAGAAGACGTCATCTCGACGTGGGGTGTTACGTGACACAAAGGAGGCTGCGGTTTATCACTCGGATATTTTGCCCTAACCATGGGACGTCGAACTGGTTTAACCTTGTTTTTTTTTATTCGTAGTTTATTTTCCATCGAGAGTGATTTATGGTCTATTTTGAGTTGGCATGCTTTTGTGGCGGGTATGTAAATCGGAGTTATTACAAATTTCACTTGTACTAATAGCAAGTGCTGGAAATATTGCGTTCGAAAAAAATCGTGCGTTGGGTGGTAATGAATTTATTTTTTTTAAACGAGTTATTGGTATTGTATGCAGATGTGAATCGGCGAATCGGCCTGTAATCTTCGAAAATTGCACTATTTCCTCGCTTTTACGAGCGCTTTGTAGCTTTAATTTCCCCGAAATAGTACGAGGGGTAGGCGAAGATAAATAAATGTTTTTCGTCGACTTTCAAATGAAAAATTCATTCTTTTCTCCGCTTCGAATTCGCCTATTTGGCATGCTGAAAGACTTTCGATCGTTTCGCGCGATTTTCTCTCCACCGTCAAGCGAACACTCCATTTACATTCTCGCATATATCAAGTTGTAGGTGGACCGCAATTCAATACGTTAACGTAGAAAGCGACGTTTTTCGTTCGGACGCGAATTAACACGTTACAACTGATACACCGAAGTAATTAATTCGATTAGTTCGACAAAAAAGGAAAAGCCATCCATTCGCTCGTGAAATCTTTGTAACATTACAATAACTTGCGCGACAGTGTCAAGTTGACAGTTGAATATCAAAGCCTACTTTTCTTATACGGTTGTTTGTTTTTATATTTTCAATTAATTGTTGAAAGGAATTCAAAGGTTTGTGCCGTATTTGGATTTAGAATTGCCTTATGAACTTTCACTTATGATTTGCATAGGATGTTATATAGCATGTTAGTAGCCTGTCAGTAGTCCTGAACTGTTTCAAATGGTCCTAGTCAGTTCGAAAACAATTCAAAGCCGTTTAGGACAATTCTAAACGATTCTAAAACTGTCTTGAACATCTCAGTCTCGCACTCGGTATACGGAAATAAGATTTGTAGGTCGAGCGCAGCGCGTTAATTATGCAAATTTATTTAAATTCGAGGCGCATTGCGAAATTTGTCCTTGCGCTCGGTCGAAAATTTCGCTCGCGCCATTCAATGCTAAACGCCATCACATATGAATGAACGAGGATTTTAATCGGTTTCAGTATGGGCACACCGACGATGGTTCAGCGCCAAAGGGATGGCCGTTGTGCGTCGGCGAATCCGGTGTAATATTGCACCTAGGCCCGCTCGATCCTTCCAATGTGAGAAACAGGGACTGCTACATTTGCGTTCGAAACCGCAGCGCCCCAGGTGTTGAAGTTACGCTGTTTTGGAGGCAGGACCACGAGTTACTCAGCCACACTGTGGCCCAATTTCGAGACCCTCTAGCTCAATCTTTAGATGACATAATGTGTTCGAATCTCAGGTAAATCGTTGCTCGTCTATTAGCGAATGTACGTGGAGTTAACAGTATCCTTCCAGGTCCATATCGGATCTAGAAATAACGTCGTACGACGACTACGATGGCACCGAGCTGCCGGAAATGCTCCAGAATCTGCTGGTGTCCGTCGAGCACGCCATCAAACGAGTGCCTTTAGACGATTTGACGTTTCCTTGTCCGCAGTGCCAGCAATTCCTGCCGTTGGACAGGCAGGACGAGGAGGCGGGCGCGTCGTGCGCGTGTCAGTGTCAGTGTCGATTGCCCGAGCACCAGGTCCTTAAAAAGGACTCTTCGATACAGACGAGCCCGATGTTCGAATTCGTCGGGTCCATACCGCACATCGATAGCGACGAGGACGACGATAAGGAATCCGTAAAATCAGGTGAGAATTATTTTTTGCAATGTACATCGTATAATATTTTTTATTATCGTACTGGATCTAGTAATTTTGTGATTGGTGCTCGAGTTATGGAATTTTATTTTTGAAAAATTACATGTATGCGTGGGGTATTAGAGGGGATAACTAGGTAAGTTATATCGAAACATTGCGCTGATGAGTTTAATCGACGAGAAGCGCTAAAAAATTAGCGGATTTATTAGATTAAACTGGAATATAACTCTGAAGAATTGCGATGGAAAGTGTTGGTGAATTGGTACGAACTTTTCAAAAGTCTAGATATAACATTTAAGATAACGGCGCGGTGGTTTAAGAAAATGTCCGAAACGAAAAACTCATGGTACACAGGTAAGTTTCCCATTTTTCTCATCTAACACCAAAAGAACCAGGCACCAAAAGCATAAAGGATACTAGAGAATAACAATAGATAGGTACAAAAATTTGTTATTCGATCAACGTATCTATACATTGAATACTTTTAAACTTACCGAAATTCTTTATTACAAAAATAGTGATTGGAATTTAGAAAAATAAATCGTAAAAGTGACCTAAGTTGATAGTAATTCGAACGTTTTAATTAGTGTTTGTAATCGAACTTTATTTACGCATCAAATTATGACAAGCAATCATCAGGCCTGTTTGCACTGTCCAATCAAATTGCAATTATCGAAAACCGAGCTAGATTAATCACCCCCTCGAACGCGATAATTAGAATCGGGGAAATTTCAACCTCAAAACCATTAGAGCAATCGAAATTCCATCCATCATTTTTATTATTATCATATTTCATATTTCTACATGTAATGTTTATACCTGGTCGGTCCGCGTCGATTTGTATACTACATAGGAATAATACAAGTGCGAGAAAGAGAAACAGACCAATTGTAATAGAGGGAAAGAGGGAAAGAGGGAAAGAGGGAAAGAGGGAAAGAGGGAAAGAGGGAAAGAGGGAAAGAGGGAAAGAGGGAAAGAGGGAAAGAGGGAAAAAGGAAAAGAGGGGAAAAGGGAAAAAGATGGTATTATTATTGAACGAGTACTTGGTCGTATATTTTTAAATTTTTATTATAATAAACAAATTTATTGTAATATTCTGTACATCCCCGCAGGTCGACCCGGTTGAGCAAAAACGATTCACTATAGTATTTAATGGTTAATGTTTTTGTTCCTCTCGTGAACAAACAAACAGCCACTTGAATAATGCAAGACATAATATAGGTTTTTCGTTTAATTAGAAATTGACAATTCACTTCTGTGGCAACGGCGATTTAATAAATTGCCGCAATATAGATTTAGAAGCGTGGGCAGTACGCTCGTAGCGGTACGTCTCATTAATCTTTCGCGGCTGTATTTACATCACACAAAATCAATAACATTTCTAACACTTATTATGGGAGAAGAAGCGAAAAAAAAAACGCGCGCACGGTACATAGAAAATATGTAAATTTCACTTTCGATCCGTCGATGCGGCAATTCCGTTTCAAAACGCGTTTTTGTCGGTGAATTTCAAAATCGACGAAATGATGAAAATTCTCGTCGGGTCGATTGCGATCCGGAGGTTATTTATCGGCGGTGTACTTAAACAGATACTCCGATAGGATCGTCTTCAAATTAATAATTTACTGTATAATATACTAGGTGAGGTGTATTTAACATTAACATGGGAAAAGTAGGTATAATACCTACATGAGTTTGTTAATGAGTATACCTAATGCAGTATTTCTTGTCGTTTAATTAAAATTTAGTTACGACATACTTTTATCGTTTATCCTACTTTGCGCTCTTTCGAGAAAGACCCAACAATATGTACAATTAAAAACAATGAGCTACAAATAACGTGCATAACATCATGCGACGAGATTAAGCGTTATTAGTCCATTGTTTCGTCGGCGAGCGGTCGTTATTATTCCAGAATTGAGTGCATAGCAAATCGAGAAAACACCTTTATCAGCCACAATTCCAAAACTATCATTTTAATGAGAGAATTCCATCGACCTATTTCTCATAGTTTACTTATCTCGAATCGTTTGTCACCAGAGGCGAAGTCTCTCCTATTGAACTGATCCTCTGTGTATGGCGCGTTTCAATTTCTTCCGGAAAATTTATGCAAGAATTGGTACTCTTAAAATGCATCTTCCTAAACTCTTTAACCATATACGAAATTATCTGTACTGCATTTAATTAGTAATTGGTCGATAGGCTGCGATTTTATTCGAATATTTCCATTGGCGTACGCCCGATAACCCCGCCAACCCGCCGCTGATCGTATGTATGTGTCTCAGTAGTACACCCGTTAGAAGCGCGCCGTAATTGTTGCCGCTTATCCATATATTTATTTATTCATTCGCCTTTTTGCGCGATTGATCCCGAAGTACAAATTAAGCGAATTAGTACCAGTTTCCGATCGATCGATGTCTCGCTACAATTGGACTCGAAATATCTCTTTAGGATATCGTATATGTTCCTTTCAAAATGCTATTAATACTCAATAAATCATTTCTATCATTCAGTAAACTGTATTCAGTAAACTACTTCTTTTAGTTTTTGTATCATTCGTTCGAAAGAATCTAAAGAAGTAGGAATTATTGCAGAGTAACCATTACATTATTTTGTAACAATAAATTGGTTAATTTATGCAGAATTCATTAAATTGCGCGATAAAAATTCCACCAGCTCACCAACCCCGGTCGTTTCGTTCGAAACGCGATAAAACTAATGTCACTTTCATCACTTTCTTGTCGTGCGAATTCTTTTTTCGCGAACGGAACACCCGAAGACATGCTAATCAGCGGTAAATATCGTGGGTATTTGCATTTCTCGAAATAATATAAACAGGGAAATTGTGCCGCACATCCCTCGGAGCGAATACTACAAATCACGAGAGCCGCGCTAAATATGCGAAGAAAAAACGGAAATTTCACGTCGATAAAGTGGAGCGAACCGGCCAGGGGCGCACTCCCGATCCCCCCCGAAATCTGCGAGAAAAAAATTATAAATCCCGCCAGTGTCCTTTCGCCGACGCTGGTGTTCGAATGAAAAAATCCGTCTGGACACGATCGGCTCGTGGGGCTCACGAAAACCTCCATTTTCACCGGAAGAAAGCGATCGGAAACGTTCAATCGGGCAATTAAAAGTAAAAATGCCCCGTTTCGAACACATCGAGGCGTTTGATTGACAATTTATTATGCAACTACCAATTATGCAATTATCACTACCCATTCGCAAGGAAATTATTACGTTATATACAGCAATTCGAGTGCCCAAATCCATTTTTTTTAATCATCTCTCGATACCAGTAAATTAATTAGCAGTCGCATATCATTCATTATTCTTTTATTAATCACACTTTGTACACACGTTAACATTTTAAAGTTATTACACGTTCACGTAACCGTCCTGCACCGTGTTTTTATGACTTTATATTAATTTATAATCTACTCGTCAATTAAACGGGCGATTTCGTTTTTCCTTCACCGCGCTTCCCTAGTAATTTTTTGTGCTCCGAGCCTCGTCGATGCGTCCCATATTATGCACCAGCATCTCGTGGATGTTCTCCATAATGAGTGAGTAGTTTCGCAAACAATTCTTCTATTAATCGGTTATCTCTTCTTCCGACATTTGGCAATCATTTATCATTCGAGCGAGCTTTTTAAGTGACAAGTGACACTGGTGTTTTTTTAGTAATACACTTGCTACAAGGAAACGTAACCTTTAATTAAACTCGAAACGGTTTGATTGAACGGAAAAAATTGCTCGTGGGCATTCTTATATGTGCTTCCTGAGAGGTAAATAATGTTATTACATATTAAAACGAATTTACTTTCCATTTCTGTGATATGTAGGTGATAATTAAAAAAATGCTAAACGTTCGCGTAACTTTCTTGCGCGTTTTTACCGAAATAATTCGACGGAGAGATAAAAAACAAATTTAACGTTAATTGCCCATTATGCTTCTCTGACTCGACGGATAATTCATTAATTACGAATTGGTGCGATTAAATAAAAGCACGAGAGCAATTTACAAATTTATATTGCTGCATACTAAAGGGAAAAATATTTTCGTACGCTTAATTATTACCTGTTCGAAAACAATACAGCAATGCTACGTATTTAATTAAAATTGCTCGCGATCGTGTTTGTACTATAATTAATTCAACAAAAATTTTTATTGTATAATACCGCAAAAATTCCCACTCGATTATCAACTTTCCTCATTTTCGTTTTCAGATAGCATTACATCCTAAACACCGCTTTGTAGTATTAATTCGCAAAGGCAAAAATCCGGTATAATAAAAGGTGTTATGTATCCGCGCTTCGCTTAAGTATTACCTTCGATGTGTCGAAAGCAGAAAATTATATTTACAGATCAGATGAAAAGCTCAGTAAACCGTTTAATAGCTCGGCGAAAATTATACTAATAACATACGTGTTAACTTCGGTTTCTATTGATTGTTAACCGTTGCAGAAACGATGAATGGGCGGATAAAAACGGCGGGATTTGTGCGTAATTGCGCTCGTAGTTTTTATTTTATCCAAGTTTCTCGAAATACCGGCCGCTGATAAGAGTCCTAATTTCGCGAAATTGCGCAACGAATATGCAAGAGACGCCAACGTAGGACTTACGAAATGGAAATGATCGACCCACCTGGTATAATTATAGCCCCGGAGTTTGAGTTTCTTTCATACTGCAACCGAAGGAATTATCAATGCAAATTTTTTACTATATTAGTTACGCTACATTTACCAGAAATATGATTTAATAAAAGCTAGATAAAGTAATTTTTTGTAATGCATGATACTATTTTTACTATAAATGTTGTATTTCTAATTAATTTTGTAGGAAATTGCCTAGGCTATAACCGAACAGAAATTTCCACGTAGGTTCCACTGAATTATTTATCTAGCATTTTGAGCGAAGGAATTAGACCAGTTTAGGGTCGTTAACACAGCGACAGGTATTGAACTGGGTCAGTAAACAAATGTTCGCCCGAAAAATCCGAAATATTATCGTAACTAAACAGGAACAACGCAAACGCGAACCCGAGGCGAGAAAAATCCGCAATTAATTTAACTTGCACCGTTAGTTTCCCATCTGAAGAGTGATTGATATTTTATGGAGCTCCTTCGGCCTCTTCTTTTCGAAATAATCGATTCCGCTCGTACGACGGTGAAGTGCTAATCATGAAATTTATAGTATGCAAACATTTATATTCCCAATTACATTAAGCGCTGCAATCAATCTTCCTATACTTGGCACTGGTCTTAATTGATTCCTTCTTCGCATCGACCGTAACTTTTGTTTCCCGATTTAACGATATTAGACGGGCAAAAAAGTCGAGCTTGAATGAACGCTCTGACCGATATCGATCTAACTGTTTCCATTACGCAACAATAAATCGGGTTTTTTTTTTCGTTCGTACTAATGTCGGCTACTCGAATGCCCACGCGAAAATTATCATCGAGATGTAGATATAACCCACCTGCGAAGCGAAGGTTCATTGAATTTCGTTTCCTACTTATTTATATTCGATGAAATAAATGCATCGACGCCTTCCCACGATCGCTTTTTCGGCATCGAGTTTCACACGATTATCGATTGTCAACTCGCAAACGATTATCTACTAGTAGTAATATGCTTAATGCTCCTATAAGGGAGGCTAGTTAATAAAATTCAATTACCCACCCATCACGCGTAATGTATTCGCATTCCGTAATATCTAATTTCACGATTTTAACTGCGGAATCCGTTATCTCGATATTCACATTCCCATAATCCTTATTTGTCATATCTAACTGTAATTTCGAGAAAAAATATATTCTTTTGTCGTGCCATTCCGCATAATGAATAGACGTTATTTTTCGACAATAAAAGTTGTGAACAAAAAAAAATGTTGGCTTCTTCTTGCCCACGCGGCCGAATGGAGCACAACAGAAAAATTTCAATGTCGTGTTGTTATTTCGACTGCGATCGTTAATTAGGCTTTCTTTTAGAACGATTTTTTGACCTCGAACGGATTTGTTGCGTTGGGGTTAACATGAATTATTCGCAGTGTATTTTTTGTTTCTTAGTATTAACGTTTTCTTAGTGTAAATAGTGTAGTTAGAAAATATGTTCTTTAGTTTATATTTTACTAATTTATCTTGTATCTGATTGGTTTAATAAATAATGAAAATAATAAAAGATAATAAAGAATAATGAATGAAAACTTCTGAATCTGAATTATTTAAAGGTATTTTAGTATAAAGGTAATTTTGTTAAATTATAATAAATATTGACTAAACGGAATAATTCTATAAGGCGTTGATCAATTTAATTTACAGCGTCCGATCGTAGATGTAGGTCGGCGCAAGAAATGTTGCTGAATTCACCTCAGCAGGAATTCGTGTGGGTACCGAAAAATCCTTAGTAGGTCTGAAATTCAAAAGCGCGTTCAGGTGCCTATTAGATGGAGTGATGAAACGCTTGAAACACGTACGTTTAGGCGTTACATTTTTCATTTTCTCGCATTGCGTTATCGGCTTAATCTCAATAAAGCGCCTACGCGTAATGTCACAAGAGAATTCGTTTTGTCAGTGTACGTTTTTTTATCATCCGAACGACCCGTATGTTGGTTACCGTATGCATTATTATTATTCGACTGCATTTATTCCGCAGGTCAATAATCCCGTAAAAACTATTATAAATGAGTTTTTGTATCGGATTTACGGCTGTACCTATGGATTCGAACCGTTTCAATAGACCATAAAACCCTATAAAAAAACCCATCGGCGTCTTGGCAAAAATGTTGAATAGCTCGCGTAAAGGCTCGTTCACATGTCGTACGAATGTGTTGGGTTTTTGTTTGTAAATTATGATATTTTCTCGCGAATTCCGCGAGAACTCGGTATAAAGAGAATCGATAAAAGTTGTGGGAATTTTTTTAATTTATATTTCAGCTAAACTAAATGACTCCAATTATGATAATTAATAACGTTTTTTTTGTTTCAGGAATATTTAATAAAAAACTGGAAATTGCGAGACCAAAACGAATTAGCGAACTTCCTGATAAACTGCTTATGTCAGGAATAAATCTACCAGGTATGTAAATTTATTCATTAAAACAGTTAATTTTCACGTATTCGCTTTTATAATTTCTCCTCTACGACTACGACATTATATTCTACTTACAAAAAATAAATATCTAACAAAAATTTAATCCAAACTACCTAAATCACCTTATAAAACAGGTGTAACGTATCAAGAAAATCTATCGTTTTCGAGCCTCTTACGTTTTTATTGACTGTTAAATCTAGTTTATCGACGATCGAGCGCGTAATTTTCTCATTTTCTAATAGTTTCTGTGTGTCGGAAAGGCTTCGTTTCGTAAGCACTGCTCGGGGCCCTGCGAATTTCAATCGAACGAACGCTTTTGCATGATGTATGGAAAAATTTCAATCGCAATTTCACTACACATTACGTATAATATACCTGCTCTTGCAACTAGGAAAAATGAGTTTCTTTCTGTTCGACAAGAAAGCGTTATGTAAAATTATGAAATTTGAAACCTCCGGTGGGATTTTAACATGGAAATTATAATACTTGCAGTTGATTTATCATGTATTATCTGTTACGTTACGAGCGAGTAGTATCTCGAAATTGGGATGGGGAAATTAAATCGAATTTCTCGCGCTAGTAAAACTAAAATGTTCGTGCGACTTTCGTTTTTATTAACATTTTAAGTGGACATTACGGCTAAATCGGTAGGTGAAGAAAATGAGAAAATTAATTAAAATCACAAGAAAATCGATTTTATCGCTGGATACGCGGATGCGCGAAGAGAGATCGAATAATAAACAAACACAAGACAAAAATAGGTTTGTTGGTTTTTTTGCATCGAGCTATTGAGGATGGAATATTAAATTAAATTATGCGGATTTTCGGACGGGTCGGAGAATATGAATAATAAATGTTACATTAATTTTAATATTCGTTCCACTCTACTTTATTAAGCTTCACACTGGGATTTTTATAAAGCTCCATTCACACGCCGTTTCTACCTTTTATTTTTCATTCAATTAACAAGGGCTAATTAATTTATGGCTCGTTAAATTTATCGCAATTAAATTAATTGCATTTAGAGACATACGCTATATCGATCAAACGGTATACCTGCACTCTCATGAATAATACAAACTTGGTGTTTATGCGTTTATCCAAACTTTACGATAAAAATAACCACAGCAAATTAATTCCATACGAATACGAATACTTCCTTTCGATCGGACAATCAAAACGAATTTTATTAAAGGATTTCTTTGTATATTCCGTCGAATTAAGTTCACTACAATAAATCATTAAGCGCTACAACGGCCGTTAAAAAGAACCAGTAAGTGGCATTTATCTAGTAGGTACGACAAATTTAATTACTTCTGGGTAGGTATATGCAGGAAAAAAAAACGGGAGTGAAAAATACTATCCAAAACCCCGCCGCTTTTACTCTAAACTATAATGTTTATTTTAATTTATCACAACGGAAACCCGCACGATAACGTAATTACCTACCCGAATTAATTAATCGAAGCGTTTATTAATCATTTTATTATCGGCGCGCGTGAGTGACGACGAAATACACAAAAGGTAGGGTATTTTTATGTACATATACAGGGTGTTCCTAGAATAAGGGGTCAAAGTAGAGAACCTCAAAATATGACAAAAACTTAAATGCTATTTGGCATCGAAAGCGAGATTGATAGACCTCCCTTAAAGGGGCCACAATCTGCGTGGGAAACACAACGACGGCAGGTTAGACCGCGTGCTACCCGACTACGTGCCTTATTAGACACGTTCTTCGAGTTGTGCACCAACCACTAATAGTATCAACGGTATAAATGGAATGTTTTTGTTAAGACTTGAGATACCCCAGTAGTACATACATTGCATACAGAGTCTACCTGCTGCCTATGACATTCCTATCGCACTGTATTCTAGGGAAACATTGGATAGAGTTTGTGTTGTTTAGATGTATTTTCCTGCTGGTTATTCAAGGAATACGGATTCTTCACAACCACTAACACTAATCGTCGAAGCCACCACGGGTCGTAGGAGGATCATTATAAATACAAATTGAATTCTCGTTTGTTTGTTCATTATGACAAGGATATTGGATGTTGACGCAAGCAATTATTCGATTCCGTGAAGTCCATGTGTGCGGTTGAAGCCGTGCGTTGCTCGATCCCTCGCTCTTTTCGTTCGTTTATTTTCTTTTAGCGTATACGTTTCGTTTTCTTTCGCTGGAATCGCAATCGAAATTCGCTGGTTGATGAATTTTACAATCATCAACCAAGCAGAGCCGCGCGCGATTAGCAGGAAATACGAATACAATTCGATTGAAATCCAACGCACACACACGTTTCGTATAATTTTGGTGTGCTTTATGCTTCCTCTAGTGGACTCTCTAGCATTCGTCCCACGCGTTTAAGGGAGGTCCTTCGGATCGCTCTCGAGCCGTTTCCTGACACGTACGAAGAGGGATGAGGCGCGCCTTGTCTCGTCCTAACCATCAATTCTTCGCGGGGTGGTCCGACGCATCCGACAACAAACACTCTCTACATATACAGGGTGCGCTCGTTTTAGATATCCTCGCTCAACTGGATCGAATCGATGATAGCTCGGTAATTGCCGGCGAACGTTCACCGTCGAAGGCGATGTTTCCGTTCGAGCAACAGACGGCGAAATGTTACTACATGACTTATTTAACCTAGAATCTCCGGCGCGGGGATGGTACCGGTACGGCTAATGACAGCTATGCGGAAGCCGATGCGCCGGGTCGGAGTTCGTCCACACCTGTAACCGATTGACCGGGTGTGTTTTCGCTTTTGTACGCTCATTTCGCCTCGATTGGTACGATATACCACGAAAATTTTCACGCAGATGTTGGTTGCTATAAATCCCAACGAGTTTGAGAGTAGGTGTGGATGAAGTTGTTAACGAATACAGGAATAGTTAATCATTAACAAAAGATGCAATTAAAGTACCTATAGGATAAGATATTGATAGAATCATCGTGGAACATGCCTCAATAGTACCGCTTGTATGTGTGTACAAGAAGAGTAGCCAAAAATAGAATCGTTTACAACTCCAGTTACAACTTATCTCGCATGAATACATATTTACATAGTTCGGTTGCTGCTGGCACTCGACCATCGGTGTGCATATTTAAAAGCTCCATTCCGGCATCACGGGTGTAGGTATTGAAGAGAACGACCGGCGTTTCGAAAGACGTTTCTAACGAAGTACCGGAGTACCGAGAAGGGAAACGAAAAGCTAACAACGTCTCGTCGGGTTGCTCGTTCGAGTAGCGCTCGCTCGAACGGCTACTTAATCACAACAAGTGACGTTTTTGTGTTTCCTGTTGGCCGTTCGGCGACACAGAGGACGTTTGTTTGTTTAATTTTTTCGTTGATAGAACGTTACGCGTTCGGAATTTCGAATGATTACAAGCTTTTTTAAAGCGATTGAATTTTATTTGCAGGTACAACAGATGCGAATGGGAATCCTATTCTTCTTTGCTACGCTGAGTGCATTACGAGAGCCGGACTGAACAAATACGAAATAGCCAAATTGTTGTTGTATTATTCCTCAATACCGACGTAAGTACGATTTTATTCGCGTCCTGTACTGCATTAATGCATTTTTATATCGATAATTTATGCTCAAATGAAGAAGCACAAGTTGATGCAAATTATTCATAATAACTTCCAGCTATTAAAATGGGTATCTTCTACAACGATCAGGCACTGTTTCAACGAAAAAAAAAACATCTCTATTATAGTACAGTTTCTTCGGTAAACTCTAAATTACTCGTGCTATTAATCACGAATATAAATTTTATTCTAAAGTACAACTTTTATAAAGTTTATCACCTTGATGATTTGTTAGTTTAAGATCCAATTGAGTCGTTTTAATAACTTTAACAGTCCATATGCTTCGGTCTATAAGACAGCTAGTGTTAGATTTCTCGGACGATGGAAGAAAGACAAAAGCCGTTTTCACCCGTGGTTACGAATAAACGTGTAATTACGTGTATACAACGCAATTTTATCGGCTCGCAGCATTCATTAAGTCGTTCCTCATCTTTCTCGCCTGCACTTCCGCGCGAGATTTTCGCATCGATATACGATCGAATGTCTTTTCCAGATCCGATATTCGAGAGAAAAGCTTCACCGTTCTGCTCATAGCCGAAAACTCCAACTACTCGAGGGCCCTCGAAATTTTGGACAAGTCGGTTTTTCTAATAGGCAACTCCATAAAGGTCGATAAATTCTTGGTGTGGACGCCGGGCCAGAAGAGCACCAGGGAGTTCAAGAAATTGGCCAGCAAAATTCAGGTCAGTAATGGTGTGACAATCTAACAAACTCGCCTCGTATATTCGTATATAATAGGTCTTCTATAGCGCTAGTTCCCTATTCACTAATTTCATTGTGCATTCTAAGGGCTCGCTTTTTATTTCCGGTCGTGAAGATTCGAACGCAGTTTTGTGAAGACTATCCGTACAATCGCAGCTGTAGTTCGGTGCTCGATTTTCTCATCTCGCCACTTGTATGAGTGACTTATTTATGTCCTGTTGTAGGTGATTGTATTGAGCGACGAATCGTCCTTAAGCAATTACATTTCGAGGGATCAGGCGCCGACGAGTTGCGGCGGTGCGTGCACGCACGACCAACTCGAATGGGTGGAGTTCTTCAAGCAACTCGAGCCGTTCGTCGTCGATTGCAGAGCGGCGGGAAAATCCCTCCTGAACACGCTGTCATTGCTCAGCAACGAGGAAGTCCCGCACCAGATCAACCGCAAGTTCATAAATCACCAGTGCAGGTGAGCTCATCTCTCCGGCATGCCCCTTCTCGGTTACCCGCCGTGAATCATTCAGCACTAATTCTGAATCTGATGAATAACACCGCGCAATTCCGCCCGGCCCGCAAAAAACGGCTAGTTTGAATTTCGATCATTCCAGGCAAATCACGAAAGCTTTGGAATTCGATAACGTGCTGAGGCTGCGAAGAGACGGCAGGAGAATCCTGAACAGTTTGGAGGAGCGCAGCCAATGGTTGGCGTCGAGCAGAGACGTCGATCGAAGCAAGTCGCACGCCGTTGAATGTTTTAACGCCGTCGAAAAAGTCACAGATAGATTGGAACGATTGAAACACGACAGAATGGACGCCATCAAGGAACTTGCCAAGTTCAGGAATTTACAGGAGGAGGGCGACGAGGTGAGTGGTCAATTTTGTCGACGAAATGTGTACGAAAATTCAAAGCAATATCGAGGATTCATGGTTTGCAGATAAGATTAAACATTCCTTATCATCAATAATTTACTTGTTAAAAACGAGCTGATTTATTTCATGGAAACAAAAGGAACCAAGAGTAGTGGTGTTAATAATGAAACTCCTGAAGAATATTCTTCCAAAACCTGTTAATCACTGTTAATCACCAAATTATCAACTAGTTTCCTTAAATTTTTAACTCCAGATGATTTATCTTCTTGCTACCAAAGGAAACCAATTGGAGGTATTAAGACTCTTGGAGATCCTCAACAATTCCAAGCTGCTAATTTGCCTAAATTATCAACAAATTCCTTTGCATTTTCACTACTAGCTTTATCTGCTTTGAACCAAATGGAAACTTGTGGTAGTAATGAATCTCCTGGAGAATTATTCTTGTTCCGTTCATGAACAATTCTTCACGTAGGCCACCCACAATGTTGGCAAAATGACCGCCAGCTGTCGTTCAGCTTGCGCCAAATGGCGGATTAACGAGATTGCACGGTGATAGTTATCAATCACGAGTTTGATAAATACAGCGTTTGGTAATCCAATAAATTTATTCCTCTCTTATGTCAGGGTGATATTGGATACTTGCGAGAAAAAGTTGCCAAACAAGAAAATAAAAAGATGTACGAATGAATCGAACGACCTGCACGAACACCGTTGGACAATTATTCGTTATTATCTGTTGTATTAACCATTTGGCGTTTCATCTTGTTGACAAAATGATGATCGTAATGAAACATCGTAATGATAGGTGGCAGTTTCCAGAAGAAGTCGACAATCTCTATTAGCTCGAATAATTATATTTGCACTTTCTTGTTACTGATTGCAACGAGTCACGAAAAATTTCGAATCGCCGTTTAAATGTTAAAAGTGCCGCTCAGTAATTGTTTGAATTACGAATAAGATTTGTATGGCAGTAATAATTTGCATATGTGCGAATGGTGAAGTTTGTATGGAGTTAAAGTTCGGTGCTGATACTAAATTAACGGGGCGCAGATTTCATCGGAATGTTTTGGTAAATGAAAATAGTTGGGTAAATATTGCGTTTGCGTGCATTTCAAAAGAGTCTGTTGCCCCAAAAAGAAATGAAACGAGTCAATTTCGCTTATTAATGGATCGCATCGACAGGAAGACAATATTTACGAGGCGGTTTCTAAATTTATTTTTAAATTACTTCAAAGAAAAGTCCGCCACGCGTTCGTTTCGTCTTGGATTTTTTAGTTAAAACGCGAGCATTAGAAGTCATTGTTTATTTCCAAATTATTCTACTAATAAGTTGTTGGCGATTTTCGCGCATAAGTCACCCGAAAAATATATGAAAATATTGTTTCGTACGGAATTATTTCCAGACACTCGAAAAATTCGATAGTGTTACGCGGAACGCGTCAGCGCAATAGTTATCGTTAATTCTCGCCAAATAATAAAATATTTTGTTGTTTCTCTTCCGGTCAGTTGCTCACGTGGACTAAAAAAATCGGCGAGGAAACCCTGAACAGTCTAACGCTGCTCCTGCGAGCCGCAGGAGATGCGGCTGCAGTCAAAGAGGTCGCCAACGATTTCGAGAAGTTCTTCTTCAACGCATGGGTGAGTACCTAATTTTCCTTCAGTAAACGCTGAACACAAAACTTTCGCTACATTCCGACGACCCCTCGTACGTTCTATTGAGTAATAAAAATATCTACAAGCATAAAAATTAATTTTTACTTTTTTATATCTATTAAATATGTTTCCGATATTACTATCAGAGAATTCACACAATTTTTTTTTATACAAATCGACGACGTCGTCTTGTTCATACGACTATAATTTTAACTATTGTCTTTATGAGTCAAATAGCTGTTTAGCAAAATAGCTATGTATGTGAAACAGTAAAAGTTCGCGTTATTTCCTCAACGTTGAATTAAATAAGAACTGGGACAGAAACAAGCGAGAAATGTTTTCTATTTTTAGGAAATATTCCGTAAACAAAAAGGTATATTTTTTTATCCTACATTTCATAATTTCATACCTCCCATTAACTAATTTATCACGACAATTTGTGCAGCGGCAAATCGAAAAGTCGAATGACCTGTTTGAAGAATGCAAGAACATAATGGACCCGAAGGGCCAGGAAGTGAAAGAGTTCTTCGGCAACTTGAACATCCAAATGAAGGCGTTTAGAGAGAAGCTGGAGGACACCAGGGAGAAGATAGAGGACAGTTCCAGGTGCTTCCAGTTGCTGGACACGTGCCAGAATCTCCTGGACGTCGAGAGCAAGGAGCAGGCCGAGTTCCTGCGACTGACCCAGAATTCCTCCAACGATAAACTGATGAACTTGTATCGGGTGAGTATCTAATTCATAGCGAACATGTTATTATTGATTGATGCAATAAAAAAATTGCTTGCATTGACAAAAAATTATTAAGGTTTTCGGAATTAAAAAAAAATTGTGAAAATTGCTGGCGTTCTTTGAGCAGATTAATTAAAACTCCCAATGTGATTAATTATTTAATTATACCAATTAATTAATCAAATCTACTTTGATTAATAATTGTTATGAAATCATCACTTGCACTAAATTAATACACGATAATTTCTTCCCGATAAAGAATTTTACAAATTATCCCAAATCTACAAAACGCATAAAAAACCAATAGATAATAATAACCAAATCAACTTTATCAAGATGATTCATATATTTTTTTCTAATGAATTTTAAACAACATTCTTCCGATATCCAACAATTCCACGTAATATCCAAACGCATTCCTCTAATATTTCAGACCGTCAAGAAGTCCAGCAGCTTCGTTAGCAATCCCAACCAACCGCCGGACAAGCCGAAGCAGCCCCAACACCAACACCAGCACCAGCACCAGCACCAGGACCTCAGCCCGCAGTACTCCACGCTGGAGATATCGGCCTCCAGTACGCCCGTCAAGCAATCGACGCAATCCAGAAGGCGATCGGTCAGCTCGTTGGCCTTCATCTACCACTGCAACCATCACGCCGCCGGCGAAATGTGCAACTGCTGCGAATCCGACACCGAGAGCAGCGTCTCCTACAAGCTGCGCAAGAAGTACATCCAAACCTTGCAGAACTGCAGCTGCCCCGCCAAGGACTCCTTGGAGCGGAAGAACAGCGGCACGTTGGGCGGCATCAAAGAGGAGAGCGTCGAGGACATCCTCGAGAAGATCGACTCGGATTGCAACCGATGCGACAGCGGCGTCTCCACCGCCGAGAACTCCGTCGGCGACGAGATCAGCTACAACAAGAAGAAGCTGCAGCGCACCTGCTCGTGCCCGTACTTCAGGGAGAGCTGCATACTGTGCGGCGGCGGCAGCTCGAGCGCCGGCTCCAACCAGGACAACACCGAGAACCAGCAGGACAGCATTATCGAAGAATGCAGCGACGGATTTATTAAAAGGTACGTGCCGAAGCGCGCTCGGAATTAATTGCAACATCGCGACGGGCGAGTAAACATCAACAAGCGGCTTGTTAAAAAAATATATGGCAGAGATAGATTTGAGGAAATTGAACTCGGCGAAACTGACGGTTTTCGATTTCAGCGGCAGCAGCGATGATATCGAAGAGGACCATTACACTGAAGAGAGGAAGAGCGTGCCGCCGGTGTTGGCTAATAACCACCTCTACTGTCACTCGTCCACGTTGGACATACCATTAGATGCCTTATACCACAACATGGATCCGAAAACTAAAAAGTAAGTTGTTTATCCATTCCATCGGAGCGCATTCCGCGGACATGACTCAAGCTATTTACCTGCTCTTTTCTTAAAAAAAAGAGATTAGGAATTAATCCATTAGTCACTCATGATTACTTCAATAAAATACTTTCCAGGACACTTACGTTCATCGTAAAGGAAATGATCGAAACCGAACGCGACTACGTCAAATCCTTAGATTATATCATAATAAATTACATACCGGAGCTGCAACGGGAGGACATCCCGCAGGCGTTGCGCGGCCAACGGAACACAGTATTCGGAAACGTGGAGAAAATCTACGAATTCCACAGCAGGCACTTTTTAGGCGAACTGGAAGATTGCATCAACAATCCCCTGCAAGTCGGCCAGATATTCCTCAAATACGACAAGCGCTTCTACCTGTACGCGCTCTACAACAAGAACAAACCGAAATCCGACTCGCTGATGTCCGAATACGGTTCGGCGTTTTTCAAGGTAAGGCGCCCGGCGCCTCGACCCGCTTTACTATTCGTTTTGACGAGCGCGACTTTTCGCAGAGCAAGCAACTGGAGCTGGGCGACAAGATGGACCTGGCCAGCTACCTGCTGAAGCCGGTGCAGCGCATGGGCAAGTACGCGCTGCTGCTGCAGCAGATGATCAAGGCCTGCACGGCCTCGTACAGCAACGCCAGCGACAGGGGCAGCCAGGAGATCGACGATTTGAAGCAGGCCGAGGAGATGGTGCGCTTCCAGCTCAGGCACGGCAACGATCTGATGGCCATGGACTCCATCAGGGAATGCGATGTAAATAATTTCGTTTGTGTTTAAGGTTGTTGTTGCAATTGGTTGGTTGTTTTTAAGGTGAATCTAAAGGAGCAAGGACGACTTTTGAGGCAGAACGAATTTTTAGTTTGGGAAGGACGTACTGGTAAAAAATCCTTGAGGCAGGTGTTTCTATTCGAAGAACTGATACTGTTTAGTAAAGCTAGAAGATTTCCCGACCGTAAGGTAACTGTGTAATGGGATTGGTTTGGTGTTGTCGTTACATAACTTTGGTTTGCAGAATCTCGATTTGTACATTTATAAAAACAGCATCAAAATGACTGACATTGGATTGACTGCCAAGGTGGGAGACAGTCCGACCAAATTCGAAATATGGTTCAGGAAACGGAAACCGAACGATACGTTTACATTGCAGTCGATGACCGAAGAGGTGAAGAAAATATGGACGGAGGAATTGTCACAACTCCTCTGGCGACAGGCGATCAAAAACAGAGGTACAAACAACCAACAACCGTCGAATCCCGTACGATTTAATGAATTTTTTTAGCTGTTCGAATGGCGGAAATGTCTTCGATGGGTATCGGCAACAAACCGTGTTTGGACATAAGACCAAGTGATAATCAAATTAGCGACAGGTCGATAAGCATAGCTCAATTGAGCCGAAGTAAGTTGAGCCATTTGTTTCGTTCGTTTAAAACAGGACTGCATTCGCCGGAACGGCCCGTTGGCACAGTCGCGTTAAAATTCTATTTTACTAGATAATTCCCTGCCGCTGATCGGACCCTCGGCCAGGAAGATGTTGCGGAACGTGCGTCGCAACACGTTGGGCAAGTGCGAGAGAATGAAAAGCTTCGGCGGCTCCCAGAAATTGTACGTCAATTTTAACGCGCTCTGAAACAGGACATCCCTGTCCTTATTTGTTGTTTTATTCTGATACAATAAAACGCCTTTTTATTGATTTTTTTTGAACTATTTGCTTTGGTGTACAATAAATTCGTTCCGTAGTTAGTCGATTTGATTTCTTGAAGGTAACCCGGAGTTCCAGCTGAATTACTACCATTCGTTGGTTATTTTATTGATTTACAGGTGTTCATTATTTCTCTCTAGTTCAATTACATTTAATTACTGATCCTCTTGCTCGAATTTTCCTGGAATACTGCACCAGTGTAGCAAACTTAACTAGTTCGAAATAAAACCAATTTAAACTACTTATTGCGTATATTTGTCCGAAAAACATATTCCTGCCACACCAACTCTGTTTAACTTCGATCACAATTCTATCTTCAGCAACAACATCAACATCCTCCTTAATCCAGTCTTCTTCAGGAACGCCGAGCAGATCGAAAACTCGTCCGAAACGAAGTTCCTGCTGCAGGATAATACTTACATGTGTTCTAACGTGGTTGGTTTGATTGCAGATGTGCCGAGGTTCCGCGGCGCGACGGCGACGCCGGTGATCGAGAGCTGCAGGCCGGCGGCGAGGCCGCAGTCGGTGATATCGATGTCGAGCGTCTCGTCGAGCAGCACCAGTTCGGGAGGATCTGCGGGCGCCCCTGCCGGAGCGAACACGGGCCCGCTGGGCCTGGCGTACGAGAACTCCTGCGAGAGCGCCCAGGCCTACCACAAGTCGTCGACGTTGAATAGCCAATGCTCTGTAGGTGAGTGGCGGGTATTCGGAATGTTCGCGAGAAAGGTGGAATTTTGTTTTCTTGCGCTTCGTGGAATTGTTGCGAGATGATCGACGAAGAGTTTCGCATATTTGGTGGTTTTTTTTTTTGGGAATTTTTGGTGTTGACTAATGGATTGTTTTTGGGTTACAGAAAGCGGTATCATAGCTGACATGTCTGTGGGCTCCGATGAATTCTCCGAACCTGCACCGACGGGCCTTTAATTCCGCAGGAAAATCAACGGAAAAAAGAATATACTAATGATATAGAAAACAAAGAAAAATCTTTTTATATTTATATATTTTTTATAATTTGTTTTTTGGCTGTTTTAAGTCAACATACACCATGTGCCAGGTTATATTCTAATTAGTGTTTAAGTGGATTTTTAATTATCGGTTTCCGGATTTCCCAATTAAAATTCGAAATTATTTTGTAAATAATTTAAGCACGAAAAACAGTTTATTCGTTTCGCCGTTTCTTATTGTACCGTGCGTGTTTTTTCTGTATAGGAATCGTTCCGTAAGATTTTATTTTATTAGCGAATAATAGAGTACCTTATTATCCAGAAAAAAATTTATATAATTTTAATCTTTATTATCGAATACCAATTAATTTATTATTTTTCTTTAGTGTGTACTTAAGGATAGGAGGAGTCGACTAACATAAAATGAAAGATAGTATCAGGGAATTATCGATCGCGCTTTTTTTTTGTAAATATACAATATTTAAAAAAAATAAATTCCGTTAGATAAACACTTGATCACTAATACAAAAAAACAGTTTTCTTTTTGTAAATGCATGAATTTTTTATATTATACAGTGTAGTCATGTACGAAATTATTGGAAAATATAAATATTATATGATGAATTTTATTAACTTTTTTTCACCTTATATATCCTTTTTATAGCAGGAATATTTATTACCAGGCGATCGTAACTCCATCTAGTTTATTTTAGTTGTATCACAAGTCTCTGGAAAATCGATACAGTCCCTGCCATAGAGATATCTTTTCTGGCTGTAATTTCCTTTAATCCTGCTTAGCGATAGATCCATTTTATTTTCGATGTTTTTCCATCAAATGTTTGTAAACAATTAGACTAACAATGTGAGTAATAATAATGGAAAATAAATACAACCTACGTGCATGTATAAACGAAATTCAATCTCATTAGAGAGCCGTAAACCATATTCCCTTTTATATACCACTTTTGTCTTATTTACATGCAATTTCGCTTTATGGGACGCATAAAATGGATTTTCGCCGGTGTTGCATTACATTTTGTTATTTCGTTTCAGATTTGTTATTATTTTCGAAAAGGATTCTCTCTCCGGGGCGGATGTGTTCGCTAATATTTACTCGCAAGAGAAGAATTCCACATCGATTCGCTAATGGAAAATCCATCCAATTCGAAAATATAAGAAAACAGAGCTGCACTTTAATCTCGATGTCATTAGAATGTTTTATTGTTTCGCTCGAGTGCGGTTCGTTTCTTCCCTCAAACGAGCAATTAATATTCTCTCCTATTTGAAGTCTTCTCATTTCGTACACACAATAATTCCTTTTGTCGCTTTAATTGTTCGCATATTAAAGCGACCGAATTACCAATTAATTAAACCCGAATTCAATTTTTTATTGTTTATTCGCCGGGTAATTTATTTGAGGATGTCTAATAGCCGGAAACAGAGGGGAAAATAGCCGGGCATTATCGCCATCGGGACCGGGATATTTTAATGCATAGTTAAGTAACGCGAGATGTAGCAGTTTCCTCCGAAGACCAATACCCCGGCCGGAATATACGCCGACCCTATTTTGAATTTTACCCCGGCATTCCAGACGCAATATGCATGTATCCTCATCTTTATATTGCGGTCGTATTGGCGCAACATCTGTTCTATCTACCTACAGTTCGGTTATTTACAGATGCCACTTTCTCATTCGGTTTTTATCGAATGCTACGCTATTTCCTTTACGGTACTGTTTATATTACATCCCGGATTATGTATTTACTATATTGCTCAATCGCTCAAAGGAATTCGGATCCCACAAAATTTTATACCACGATTATTATACCGAATAAATATAACAATTTATGATAGGGGGAATTTTAATGGAACACCCTGTAATTTAGTAGCCTATTTGGATCAATTTCGCGATAGAAAATTTGGTAAATAAAACCCAATTAAAGGCGCTTTCCATTTCAGTTTCGGAAACAATTAAAATGGAAACTTGCGGTGGCGCGGAAACTTCCAAATTGAAAAGTGCGGAATGGAAAAAGTGGCCGGATTGTAAATGTATAACGAAAAGGGGTGAATTTCCTTGAGGGATTCTCGACGAGGAAAAATGTTTACGGTTCTCCGGGAGTTTAATGGAGACGAGACTCTTTTTTTTGTTTGATAATTAAAGGATTTCGAGTCATTTGATATTCGCTTTGTTTAATATATTATCATGTTATGAGAGAGAGCGGATTCGCGCTGGTGTTTTTAATTCATTCTCTTATAGGTTTAATCCAATTTTCCGTTCTTACAACGTTTATCTTCCTTTATTTCTATATTATTTTTCTGCTCTTTATATAGAAATGAAAAAAAATTCTTATCGGACAAATTTATTATAAAAAAATCTACGTTTCTAGTTGAAAACTTTTACACCGCCTTTACATTACCCAGATAATTAGTAGTTCTTATTTAAAAATTTGCAAGAAACTTATCAAAGTTATTTATTCACGCTTTTATTGTTATCCCTTATTTCATTGATTCTCTTAATGGTACAGTTTATGCAAAACAAATATCAATGCACTGTACTTTCAAGTATACCAAAAAAGTAGGTATAAACTGCGCGAAATGATTACGAACGAAGTACATTAAAATTGCTACAAACTCGGAAAACACATTTGTAAAAAAATCTGCTTTAAAGGGTTGAAAAATCCACCCTTTAAAACGCCCATGGCGCCGATGAAAGCAATATCATCCCGAATAATTCTTGGCGGAGCGAACGAATGGAAATGACCCGACGGTATGTGTACTGAATCTCTGCGAATGGATGTTTTCATACAGCTTCGCTAAGCATTGTTCAGAGTTATCCTGTGTATTTAGGGGATACAGTCGGCTGGTAGGAGTAAATTCATGGCGAGCATAATGGTCCGACGGGGATGAAATTACGGGTTTACCGATATGTTACACGAAGAAAAGGTCGTAACAAAAGAACTCCGAGCCGTGGAATTTTAATCGAAATCACCACAGTAACAGTTTAAATTAGCGTTCGGTACAGTCGATAGTTTCATTAACTCGTACGTACTCCAACTGTACGTTTAATTTTCAACTCCTGCATACTTTCGGCGATAAATTAGCCGAACTTTTCGCCGTAGTTTCCTTCGCGAATTTCCACAATTACGGTACAACCGCGAAAAATCCTCAGCGCTCCGATAAAGTTAAAGTTCTAAACCGAAAGTTTCGCGTTACTCCCATCTCTAACATTTAAATAATGTAACCGTTACACGTACCCTTAAGTTGACGCATAGGCGACTTATAAATAAACCGAATTTAACGAAGTTGTTACGGTGTTTGGAATTCGGATGAGCTATCTGGCGATGTCAAAAACTCTTTCTCGACGCGGCGTTAAAACTGATTTTCACATGTGTGCGCTCATTAGTAAGCTAAAATGTTTTTATCGGATTTGACGTGGAAATATTCACGGACGCGCCGTAAAAATTTAATGGCATTTCGAATGGGCATTTACGGAGACGCTCAATAATTCATAAGCTTTTCGATACTGACGCGGATAAATATTTATGCCGTCTATTATAATTAAATAGCCCAGCATCGGTAGAAAACGGCTTTTACACCGGTAACCCGGGATATTTCATTAGGTGCGAGCGGCTACCTATGGAGCCGGAGCGAGCCGGAAAAACTATATATTTCTTTAGATTGACGGAACAACGGCGACCTATCCGGATTATCTGCGAATTCGAATACCTATTTGAAATAAATCGCTAGTGAAAAATATGTTGTCCTGCAAATCGAATTTCTATTGATAACAATAAATTTCCGCTCCTTCGACAGGTTTGTAGAAAGCAGTAAAGAGGAGAGCGGTTTATTTATGGGACGTGTGTGAATAAAAGAGGAGTCTACTGGAAAAATACCTAATTTCTTAAATTTAATTACTTTACCTAATTACCTAGAGAGAGTATTTCCTTTCTTTTATGAATAATTAATGCCAAAAGATTAAAGGTTTTCTAATGTCTCTATGTTTTTTGATCATTCTTGGTATGAATTTCTTGATTTGCATTGCCAAGTAAATGTCTTGACGATGCTTCTTTAGAAGTATTAAAGTGCTTATAATAAAATTTTCATGGGAGCTCTATTAAATGAGTTATTCTGGGGTAGGTAAGTGGATAGGTAATAATGATCCTTTTCGATCGCCAGACTTAAACCTTATTGACTTTATGATGAAATTTTAATAAAATTCTACTGTTTCAAATCATTGTATTATTCGCATTTCCACCACAAAACCGCACATCTTTTCGCACAAAGAAAAAACTCCTTCCCTTTATCATCTATAGATTTTTTTCCTATCCATTACCTACAGGTATTTCGGTATATTTATTTGCATTGCGAATCGCCGAATGCCGCCGACCCGACGCCCGCCGATGCCCGTCGACGCCTCCCGACGCAGCGTCGCGATGCGCCAATGTTTACCGCCCGACGTCGCGACGGTGTTTTCTTCAGTTTGCCGCATCGCGCCCCACCGGAGCGTCGCCCGCACGTCCATCGCGCCCGGTTTTTCTCGCGTTTCTCTCGGCGCCGCGTTTTCCGTTTCGACTTTGATGCTTCGCGCTGGAATTTCGAACGAGCAGTGGTGGGTAAATATGATTTTTTTCTTGCATTGTTTCTCGTCTTTCCTTCCAGACTGTTCAAGTGCACGTTTTCAAATCTAAAAGAACTACTCGACTCGTTGTATACAAAAACGTAAACTAATTACCTGCAATTTTTTATATGCATTTATATTAGTTTGATTCGATTGAATTAATAAGCGTTGTTTAATTTATTAACAACCAGCTAAACAATATTTACTAGTAGGCGATTTTAGCTGATCCAAGCAAATATATAATTTCACCGATACCGTCAATATTCCGGCAATGGAGCGTTAAAATCCCAATGCTACATTATTCCGTGATTACCATTAACTGTTTGTTCATTATCTTCGACAATGTTGGTGTATATGTTCCGGCGATACGTTTAGATTGGAAGTTATTTATAATGTAAGCAAAACAATTAACGCGTTGGAATGAACGACGTGACGTGAAAATTTTAGTTATTATATCAGCGTAATGAGTGAGTGTTTATTATTTTTTGCGTGAAATTAGTAAAATTGAAGTAGATGTTTCAATAAAGCCCTTTGGAGCAAACTTATTATCAAATTGATTCGATATCGGGGGTAGACATTGAGTCGTAAAGTTTAGAGAGAAGAAACGAGGATGTCAATTTACTTGGCCAAATATTGACTGTAAAATTGCGAGGGACTTATCGTGCTAACCGTGTTTTATGGGGGTATTTTTCACGGGAAACGGGTCGAAAAGTAGACGGGAAGATAACGGTATTATCGTGGAGTATTTTATTCATTTTCATCAGTTTACTATATTACCAAATAGTACGTTTTTAATCCAATAAATGTAGCTTTTCTAAGACAAACATTTCTCTGGGAAACTTCAGCGAGATGATATATCGCTTCAATTTTATTACCTTTTTACTCTACAATCGGATAAACTCCTTTTTCTTTTCCTTTCGTCGGCTAAGTTTTATTTTAATTCGAAAGTTTGCACTTAACTAAAACTAGTTTATCCGCACACAACATATACAATTGCTCTCCAAAGTTTAAACAAGATTCGTATATGAAACATTGTGCATAATAACCTTTGTTGTCCGGACGTTTCCCGAATAAACTAAACAAAGTTCGCAATGCCAGGAATTTTTAATTTTTATTCATACCTCTAGGGTTATTAGCTAAACTTTATTCATTCTAATATAAAGTCGCGAGATTTAATTAAATTTAATAAAGCTGCAAAATTTTGTGGACGTTCATAAACTATTGTTGTAGGTACAAACCATTGCATTTCTATGAGGAAACTATTTAGTTGCAAATTAATAATTTAGATTAAAATTCCACGGGCCATTTCTGCGGCGACTTTATCGCAACAACATTCAGTCAATTAATTCAATAGATTGGATTCCAATGCGGAATCCGAAGGGACTACTTAAAGTCCCGTCCTCTGGAAAACTTCGTCAGCACCCGGAAAAAAAGACAAGTGAAGCATTTCCGGTTGATTTCGAGACGAATTGACCGGATGATCCGACGATAAAGCAACTTAGTTAAAAGGCCTTTGTTGTATTAGTTAATTGAATTGTTCTTGCAATAATTTCGCAATCTAGATGTTGCCAAATAAATCTCCGGGGGATCTACGAGAGGGGCGAAGTCCAAGACAAACATATTCGTCTTCTCGTTATAGGGGTTTAATGAGCTCTAATACAAGCTTACAAATGAACTTGCTTACAATTTATCCTAATGAATAATTAAAACCGAACTTCCAGTATTTATCTTTTCTTCGGCTGGCAGTTAGTAATGCGCCTCGCGAATTTCATAAAATTAGTTTCTAAAATCCCTTCGCTTTAATGAAATTAGTCTCGTTTTCGAGGCAAGCGACCCTAATTATTTTAGTAGTAGGATGTAAGTAAGTACTTTAATTCTTCGCGTACTGCATATAACTGCCCTTTACGAGCCCTATACAGTCATATTTTGTAGGTAAACTCGATCAATATTTGGAATATTATACTATAGGTTTTTCAATTGATTTCATATGTAAATTTAAAGATTCTACTATAGATTTGCCGATTTATCAGTTGAAAATTTTTAAATAGTCTTCTAAAACTTCTACAAAAGGTTCTGAATAATCCTAGAAGGGTTCTAAATAGTTCTGGAGTTTTCTATTTTATACTAGACCGTTCCAATAGTCCTAATTGATTTTGGACAATTCTAAATTGTTATAAGGCCAACCTTAACTTGCTTAACCATCCTGGTCAGTTCTAAAATGGTTCTAAATCATTCTGAACAGTTCTAATTTGTTCTAGAACAGTTCTGAATGATTCTAAAACCGTCCTAAACTATCGCAAACATATCGTAGCGGACTGACCCGGCATAATCGATAGGTATACGGTTTCACATCGACTTCAATCACAGGTTGTTGCCTGTTGTGTACAAACATATAACAACTAAAAGCATTTCCGGTCGGATAAACAAACTGGAATTTCCGTGCGATTGGTCCGCATCGGTCCCGGGCCCTCGGGGAGCGCGTATTTTTTTTTGTCGAATGGTAATTGCGTGCGTGTTCGCACCTGATATTTCACTATTGAAATATTAAATTGATTTTTCGCAAGGGACCGCGTGCCGATTCACGCCGGCCGCGCCGGCGGGGGTGGCATTTTCCAATTTTTACCGGAAAATTTCCTATTTCTCTGTCCAGGTGATTTATGCGCAAAAAAGCGCCGGGTGTTATTAAACTCGTAGTGAGGAAACTATTTTTCTGGTAGCGTATATGAAATTAAGAGGGAAATCGCTCGGGCGGTCGGATTTATTCTCGGGGATTGTATCTGAAAACGTCGGGGGAAATGACGGAAGGAAAATACGCGATATTTCAATTGCAGGACTGTTTAACATCGGATCGAATAAAGCTATTATAAAATCATCTTGAAATGCCTTTCAAATCGCTCACAATCGACTTCAAAAACAGGTATACGAAACGTTTATGAAACATACCGAGGTCCGATTTTTTTTCCACGATTTTCTTTCATCCTGACCATTGAAAATCAGCGGCGCACATACACAATTTATAAAATAATTTACAACATAATTAGAGCCAACAAATCTCTGTACTCTCGTAGATAATTACGAAAAAAAATTAGGCAATCTTTATAATAGCATTGAAATACTCTGTATATGGTCCAATTGCAAAATAAACCAACTGGTTTAAAACGAATCAATAATAAATATGACCACACTGAAGTACACTTCTAAATAATTAATGATATTTTAGTAACAAAGTCGATGACAGTAACCATTTTGCCGGTTTAATGAATAGAGTTTCATTTACAATGCAAACCGAATGTTTATTATTATTTTATTTATATCGCGTTCGTATGAATATTTTCATTAAAATCGTTATTCTAACGGCCTCTACGTGGCGTCCATTATTAAAAATGCATCGCTTATTGTTGTTATTTAATCATTAAATTAATTTAATGGGAAATATTCATTATATGTATACAGATATCTTAACGGGAACAAACCATTAATTTATTTTTTATGAATTAAATGTTTCACGTGAATAGCTTTGTGCCTATTATTAATTATTAATTATGCAAGGCCTATTTTATTCAACAAACAATTTTTGATAATGTATTTATTTAGCGAAAGTTACCAAATACAATTCATGTTATTCGGTTAAAGTGGTAAAATTACAAATATTTATCACGCAGTCTGGCTCCTCCGGTCATTACAAATAATGTCTGGGGCGCGTTTTGTATAATGATCCCATTAATTATCTTAATCGCAGCGCATACGTTATTGTTTTCCATTCCAACACCGCGAAATCCTAGACACACTATAAATTCGACCATTTTTTCAGTAACAAGCGCCCCGACGATTTTTTCCAACAACTCTTCATAAATTAGAGAAACTTTTTCCTCGCGTCCCCTTCGAAGTTTCCTCCAAAGAGTTCGATAATTCGGTTCAGGGTGCGGAAAAGAGCGATTCCCGAGCCGCGAACGGTCTCGAATTACCGGCATTATTCGCGAGACGAAAATGTCCTAATGAAATTTTAAAATTTAATTTTTTAATCAGGTCGAAATTAGCGCGCTGAACGAATCCCACGTTATAACGGGGTCGCCGTCGAAAGAATTGCATTCAATTCGTTACGGGCGGTTGATATTTTAAACTACAGTTCAAAAACAATGCGGCAATAAAGCGCTAATAATTTTATACCTAAATTTCATACAAATTCTTAATAGTCACAAAATTGTTCTAGATTATTACAGTTTATCATCCTCGACTGTTCCAAATAATCCTGGATTACTTTGAACAGTTCCAAATGATCCTAAAATTTTCCTCAATGATTTAAAATGATTCTAATCAGATCTAAAATAATTATAAATGATTCTTGATGAATTTAAACGGTTTGAAACAGCTCTGAACGATTCTAAAACAATTATGAACAATTTTGAAAATAGGATAATAAGGCAGCATTATTTCTATTTATTAAAAAGTAACTGAGATAAATAAATTATTTGTGATGAATGTGCGAAGTAAAAACATGCATCTTACCTTGTTTGTAATTTGTAACTGCTGCCTCCGGCTGTAACTCGTTATTTATAAGGATCGAAAACATCCCACCCATCCTTTGTGTTAACGGGGAATTGTAACTTATTATATAAGTCTCTTATCGGTAAACTTTTCCGCGTGAAACCCTACTGACGAGAGATAAATTTAAGAGAATATCTGGTTCGTTTGGTTTACAGCGAAGTTTTTATTTAGTTTCGATGTTGTTGTAATTAAAAGTAGTGGGTACAAATTTTTACGAAACGACAATAGAGTTATATAAGAGAATCGCTTTTAATGTGATTTAATTTCACTTTTAATCTATTTAATTTCATCCGACGATAGAGAAACGGGCGTTCGGGCGGCATGTAACAATAGCAGTTAAAGGAATTTAATTCCATTTTCCGGAAATTAAAATTCAAATGTGTAGCCCTGTTATGGGTATTCTGCTTTTATTATTTTTCCATGTGAAGTATTTTTACGGCAGAATTTTTAATACCTTCCATAAGAGGTTCGTGAAAAAGTGTCGGGTTTAATTAAAACTTTAATCCTGCACGAGGAGTCCCTTTTGTATTTCTTCATTAGATTTCGATCCGCGCACCGCCGGCCATTTTCTACTAATTTTCGAATTTCGCCTGAAAGTGACAGTATTCAAAATCGTCGCATCTATTAACATTAATTAGTGTAGAAATTTTTCAACTGAGTCTCCCCTCATTACGTTCCACCATAGAAAAACCGGCGCAAGATAAGCAGCGAAAATCCCCTTTAATATTCCAACAGTCGTTGAAACGAAGACAAAGCTTTATTAGGACGCAAGAACAGATACAGGGAAATTGTCTGATAAATATTAAATAACATTTCGAGGGCTATACTGGAAATCCAAACAAAACACCCGGTTTTTCTGCGACCGCACTCCTCTTCATTCAAATTATGAGTATACAACTTCCCCTTTTAATGAGCTCCAAGGAATTTAATTAAATAATGCTTTTCATTGGAATACAGTATAAGAAGATGCGAATAGTTATCTACACTTCGACACAGAAATAGCTAGAATTGAGCGACTACCTTCCAAGCGATTTTAGCATTTATTTTGCAATTTTATTTTGCATCCGCTTTCGTCTATTCGATGCGATCATAAACGACGTTTTAATGCATCAAAGGTAAACTATAAACTGCACATTCCTCGGGGAGCACTCCTGAATAGACCTAATTCTAACCGGCGTTGGGCCTTACACGTCCCCCCAGACTGGCCGATGGAGTTCAGTTTCGTAACTATATCGCGAATAAACTTTACAAATTGTTTTCGCAACTTTGTCTCGATAGCCGGTCGAATGAGAGAAGGAGAAAGAACGCGTTTTCGGTCGGTTGAAACGTTAAAAGTTTATGTCGCAATGTGGATAATATTTCGTTGTATAAAGTCGCTTTTAAATGGCGGCGCGTCGTGCATTTTACGAATATCAATCTTTTTGTTCTGTCGCGAATTGATATTGCACGAGCCCGGCATATAAGATGCGAGCCGGTAAATCTATTCGCGGTTTATTTTAGTAAAAATTGTAATAAATAATAAATGCACTTACTTAGTAAACAAAATGCTGTGTGTCTGGTATTTATAGAGCAATTGTAAATCCATGGCTAATTATTTTATGAGTTCAAAATTGGATGCCTACGCAACGCAAACCCCGTGCCCGAGACGACGTAAATGCGAAACAAATTAACTTTAAAGTATTCCCGCACCTGTTTCTGCATGTCTATTATAACGAATTTCGCACCTATTACGACTGACTGGTTCTTAATTAAAATAATTCGTCACATCACCTGGCCAGTGAGCGTTTCGAAGCATTTCGAGTAGGTACTTACATACCCGCATGCAATCGTTGACATGTACCCCAAAAAAATACATGAATTTTCCTACAGCGCTAAAACTTACCGATTCTAACGAAGGCATTTATCCCGGCTTGTATTATATACGAGTATCATCGTTTCTCGCCAGAAGGGGGGTTGTCGAAGCATCTAATGGCCACGTCGACGATTCGAGAGGCCCTGCACTTGACAGTTGCAGCTGAAAAATACCATAAATCACTTTGCTTTCCCGCCGTCGCATTAGCGAAGCAACATCTCGACTAAAACGTGTTCATTTTTTTTAATAACCGCCCTTATCCCTGTACGACACCACACAACGCGACTTTCCCATTCGAATGAACCCCTAATTTTCATTTCATAATTTATATTCCACATTGCAACGATCGCAATTCAATCAATTCGCAAAGGGATTACAAAATGAGTTATCCATAGTCAACAATTCACCGACAATAATTCACCAACAATCATTCACCGACAATCATTCATCGACAATAATTTACCGACAAAAATTCACCGGCAATAATTCACCGACATAAATTCACTGATAACAATTCACCAAAAAAATGCAACGCCCATTATTGACCAATAATTCACTAATCGCAATTCATCGACTGTGCTATTTTTGAAGGTACAGAACGGGGAGGAAATGAATTTGATCGGTTTGTAGAAAACCAGTATAATGAATTCCGAATCCTTCTATCTGGGTATATTAGAATAAAAAACAATGAATTTATGGATATTGGGATTCTCGGCGCTGGAAGTTTCCCGCCTTTATTATGTTCCTCCGTTCGAACGAATTGGGTATTCGTGGCTCGTGCGTTGGCGTTTAAAGTCATTGAAAGTAAAAGGAATAACACCCGCATCCTCATAAAAGCCCGTACAATCGTATCGCACGAGAATCTATTCGATAAAGGGTGTATTTTTATAAATCAAAATTTTACCAGCAGTAGGTAGATACTTGTATTAATCAAAGGGTACCTACTAGAATTACAAATTACCGCATCAACTATAACAAAAAAGCCATTACCATGCGAAACAACCCTTATATTTCGCGCGATGAGCCAAACAACAACAATTAATAGCCCGTTTCGTTCGACGTCCCTTAGCGAAACTTACGACCCTTTAGATTAGGCGAGCGTAATTTATTCTTCAGGTTTATTTACGTACACACGAAGACATGTAAATGTCAGGTCCTTCCGTGCGTCGGGCAAATATACCATCGGGAAACACGGTCTGTTCAAACACAGTTTGTATACTAGTAGTGTAGTTTCACCCACCCCCTGCAGCTCGTTTATCTATACCGGATTTATGTGTATTAGATACCTAAATTTCCGACTATTTCAACAATTTTATTGCGAATGCATCATCCAATTCCGGACAAAGTAGAGTTAACTATGCGGAGTATGTGTATTCATGAAAAAAAAAGTTGGGGAAAAAAATTCTGACCCTTATAATGATACAGCGTACAGCAAGGTGGATGTTACATTCAACGAAAAGTAAGTACATCGACCGTCAGAGAGCTAAATGACTCCATATACGCCCGTTGAATGTACGTATGAATGTAATTAAACAAAAGCGCATAGTCTTCCAGCTTACGCCGTTCCATTTTCGTATTATGTTCGGTCGAATGAGCGGGAAACGTTCATAACGAAGAGAAGAGTTATATTGAATTTAATAGTGAACGGGCACTCGCGGCCAGATGGAACTTTGCTCGGTAACCGACCCTAATCTGCGACTGTTATTTTTAATAATAATGTCCGCTTGTTGTGCAATATTATTTTTGTATACTATACTCGTGTACGTACTACGTACGATTCACGTCAATTGGGCGATTGCGGAAAAATAAAATTATTTTGGGCGGTATAAATTTCGCTCGGACGGGAAACTGAACTCTCCTCTTCTACAGTACCGGACTCGCATTGTTTTAGAAGACAATTTTAAGCGATTTTCGTCTAAACGAAAATTCCTCCGGTTTTTTGCCACCTATGAGCATACCGTTATTCCAGTCCGGTAAATAATTCTTAAATTTCGACGTCACAAAGGAATTCTATGAAAATAAATCACTTCGAAAGTCAACCGTACGTCAAACGCGCACTGTCAACGGTAAATACAGGCTTTCGCGATGAATAATCGATTTTTTCGTGGGAAATTGATATTTCCGAACCGTCATCAATCAGACGAAACAAATGTCGTTTTAAATGCAACTCGCTACAAAAAGACATCGAACGTATCGATTAGGCTTATTAGATATCGATGCTATTTCGTATTTAGTGCCTTGGTGATTCGAATTCAAACAAAAACCGATTAAGATGATTGGACGAATTGTTACGCCGTTTACGACAAACTACCGAATACAACATTTAATCCCTTAATTCACTCTAATACATTAGCTTGATAGGTAGGTATCCACATTGTTCGTCGTTTTATATCCTCATAATTTAATGCATGGGCGGCGATTCGGCCACCATTAATAAAAAACTTCATTATCTATTGTAAATAGGTTGTTAGAACCATAGAAAAAAATAAATCTACATAACAATAACACCTCTTTATACTTTTCTATTCATACAATTATCCGTATAATTTGTTAATAAGAAAATAGAGTGGCTTCTTTTATATCCCAGCGTACACCCCCGATCGAATTGCGTGACCAATATAGGCGGTGAGATCTATTCATTTCGTCCATTAAGACAAATTGTGGCTCATCTGATAATACTTGGAAGTCACGTCGGGGTTACTAACTCGCCGGAGTTCGATGCATTACAAAAATTATAGACGATTTCGAGCCATCAATTGCCGGTTCGGATGCACCTAATCATTCGATAATCCCATCGATGTGCTGTTTGTTCAACTTTCTACCCCCTTACGGGGATTTTTTTCGTTAAATTCCATTTAATAAATCCAGGTGATTATTAATTTTTTCGAGTGGTGTAACTAGGTGTAGTGTTTGTTAAGGGGTAAAGCGATTTAAATGTTAGAAAACCAATATTTCCAATATTTAAAACACTCAATTATCTCAATAAAAAGAGCCGCTTATTTCCCTTTAGAGAGTCCTTTATATACACCCAAGAAAATCAATTATACACATCCACACAAGAATAATGTGTTTATATATGCGCATTTAATGGATAAATATGGATTTGTAATAGCCAAACGAATAGAACATTTTATTACCGAATAGACTTTGGGCTAATTTTAATGTTATGTAAATATTCATACCAGCGCTTTGATTGATTGTTCGTAGAAATATGTATAATTTAAGTAAATTTATTCATCCCTACATTTGTTAATTGATTTTTTATGTCGCGATGTAAATGATAAATTTAAAACGTTGAAATTTATCAAGAAAAAGGCTGTGTTGAATTTTCAAAATATTCAGCACGGTTTTAGAATCATTTAGAAGAGATACAGAACTGGAATGCTCCACCAGGATAAACTAGAAGTCCAGAACTATTTAGAACGCTTTCAGGACTATTTATAAGTTTTGCAAAAATCGCCTCAGGCCGACCCGGTATAGTTATTAATTATCCTGTGATGTAAACATAATATAAATATGAAATCGTTGGGAAAGAAGCGATAAGCAAATACCCTTCGGAGTGGCCTAACAAATGAGTCACTTATTCTCCACCATTGTGAATCCATTGTGATCGCCCGCGTTGAAACAAAAAAGCCTTTTAGCGCCCGGCAAATAGGACAACACAAAGAAGTGAAAAATAATGAAACGAGAGGAGAGAAGGAGAAAAAAATAATAATAAAACGCCGCATTATATAAAAGTGGAATAAATTCTAATTTTCGGATAGAAATGAAAAACCGTCGGAAATATTTTTCTAACGCCCGTTGGATTTGCTACGGTAACAAATCACGTGAACAAAACGCGGTGTCAAATGTTATTACTGTTTATAGCGCGCGACCGCTTTATTTTAGCGCATTATTATGATTGCCCGGCGTTGCCGCCTAGGCCGGTTCTATGATAATTTAAAGCTCGTATACACAAATATGCATACACACAATTGAAATACCCCGTTCGATTAGAAGCAGATACCGGGTACAAGAACTTCTAATGCGGATCCTGCCAAACTCCAAATCCGAATAAAGTCCTTATGAGGCTTCGCGTGTGATGTGTCTTCGGAGTTTATGATACTCGTTTCGGTTTTCAATGCGAACTCGATCCTTACGAAAGATGATATAAAATCCTTTCGAATGCGAACGTAAAGGTGTAAATAGCGATTTTGAAATGTTGTTTTACTCTTTAAGAGCCGCGGAGAGAGATTTATTAAATAGCTCTCCTAATTTCTAATCCTGTTTCGAAATTAACGCCCTGTATGACATCAAAGTAGGGAGTTTAATGTATAGTTTAAAATTCCGCTGACGTGCTTAATTGTCCGAAATTAATTTCTAGTTTGACCATAAATTCCTGGTAATTTAAAATACTTTACGGTGATTATAATTTCAGCAGACTCTATATCTATTAAAATACAACATTTAATATCGTTACGCGATTTTGATAATAAATTGTAAATAATTAAATTTATTATTATCGCATTTTATTAGGCAACGTGTGTGTATACAGGGCCTCTTCTTTAATATTCCTGTTGCGTCTGGTAATGGGGGAATTTCCGAGTGTTACGCCCGTGGTTGTTTCGCCCGGAGAGAAGGGAAAATAAAGCCCGATAAACGTAAAACTAGACGGTAAAAGAGAGATCGAGTAAACTTCCGGTTCATGCATTCCGAAACTTACATTGTGTCACGTACTGACGTTACTCGAGTTATGCTAGTAACTTCGTTTCTAACGTGATTTTCCCGTATGATTTTCTATTTTTCGTGCTTTCCAAACGAAGCGCCGGATCGCGCAAAAACGACGACAATACGAGCTGTTTATGAAATTTACTATTCTTGTCGATTCGAAATGGTCGGAAGTCGGTTGGTTTCGGTAAATACGAAAATGGAAAGTTTGGAAATATTTATTGAAAAATTTCTTCCTCTTCTGTCCGATTTTCTTATACGTTCTTCATTGTATGTATTTGAACTACCCAATAGAATCATTGAACTATCCATAGAGTCATTGAACTACCCAATAGAATCACTGAATTGCCCAATAGAGTCGATGAACTATCCGATATTTATTGAATCTCCTAATTGAATCATAGAGTTAATATAGCCCAAGAGAAATTTAACAATCACAATATATCAAAGAGAAAGGCTTATTTACCAACAAAGTACGAAATATAGAGAGCTGTTTATGAAAATT